AATTTGTTAAGATTTAGTCAAACAGATGTATTCTTGTCGAATGTGTAAAGACACTTTTGTAAAAATAAAGTCTCATATAAAAAATTTTTATTTTATATTTATATTTTGCTTATTTGTTATGTAATATTACCTTTTGTCTGTTTATACTGCCAGGTACAAAATAACTTTGCATGTAGTTAAAGTGAGAAAATACAGTTTAGAGGAAACTGAATGTGGAATTAAATACAAAAAAATATCCTTACAATTAAATTTATATGAATAAATTAAATATTTGGATATTTTAAAGAATATGAAAAAAAGTATAGACATTATGTATTATAAGTATTTTTGCTCAAGCATAAATTTGTAATTATTAAGTAGTAGTTGCTCAATAATTTCTAAAAAATTGAATTAGTATTCTAATTATAGAACTTAAATGTAATAGGAAGATTGTAGCATAAATTAGAAATAAGAATTTGAAAAGATCACTCAGCAATCAGAATATAGTAACAGAAATCTTACCAAATATTAAATTTAGATTATTATAAATGGACAATTTTTACTTTGATACTTGATATATGTTCACAAGATGAGTATCTACAAATACAAATATCCTCAAAATTGTTGACTTTACCAAAAATCTATTAAAATTATACAGTTTCAACGAACATGAATAATTTGATATTATAATGTTTTTTCAGACTGGGTACCTAAAAAACATGCAAAAATTAAATTTTTGTTTTAACAAAATTATATATTTTTTAATACATTAGTCAATACAGTTTGTTATTTTCTACAAGAAAGTATTAATGTATTATACTTTATATATAATAAAAAAAAAAAATCTAAAAATATAAGATTTGGCGACCTCTATGAAAATTTAATATGTTTACAAGGTTCAATGCAGTGATTAGGATATTTTTCATTTAATGTAATTTCAATTACATAATGATAATTATTGATAATTTAATATATCAATCTGTAGTTAAGACAAATAAAAACATCTAAACTACTCTGATATCCTTAATAATGTTATTATTTTCATTTACAATAATCTGTGAATCAAAATTAAAGTATCAATACTTTCATTAGGTACCAATCCAAAATAAAAATGTTTGTTTTAAAAGTTAATTGAATGAATCAATCTTGACAAATTTTACTTTTTCCTTTAACTTATTTATACAATACTTCCATTTACAATATAACTAGGAACAAAATTTAATTTGAATGATGCATCTTCATTTAGAGATGTTTTATTGTATTATTTTTGTTATACATTAATTATTTAGCATTATCGTACAAGAATTTTTTATTTTAACAATTTACATTCCTGTTTTGGAAAAATTGTATGAAAATCAATAAAGTACTTAAAAAACTATCATAGTTTATTAATTTAATATCTATTTATTTCCTTTCACTTAATGTACATATTTATTGTGTACTATAGTTCCAGAAAATGTGTCATCTAACTTAACTCACTTTTCTAAACCATAATATAAAAAAATTATATTTAATGAATTATTTGCATATTGTTTATTTACTGTTTTGGATAATACCCGTTTTTATATATTTTTTCATTCCAACTACTAGTAGTTTTAACTGATTTTATTAAATTTTTTTTAACTACACTCATTTTTCCATTTCTATTTCAACATAAGAATTTCATAGAATAATTATTATAGTATCATTTGCAATGTGTTAATTATCAATATATATTAATATTATGTGTACATGTACAAGATAGAAATTACATATTAAATATTATAAAAACAATTTTTATAAATGTATACCTGCATTATTGTACACACTGTAAAACATTATTCTTTATTGATATCTTGAATGTAATTATTATTATTAATTATAATTTATTTTAAATAATTAAATAATTACATTATTGAATTCTAATTATTTATTAATTATTATCTATTAATTATAAATAGTAATTATACATATTATGGTAATAATGATATACAACAATTCTTGAAGCATAGTTTGGAATATTATTCTTCTAAAATTTAATATATGAACTAATATATAAATTGTTTACTAATTGAAAATGTTATTTACAAGATACTACTAAGTATCAATTTTTACAAAGAATTATAAATATTAGGATATACAATTAAACATTATAATATAGGCAATGAGATATATTTTCAAACTTATATTGATTAAGGCATATTGGCTATTGTTTTTAATGGTTGATCAAGATATCTTGCTAAAGCTTGTGCTTTTTCTCTTAATAATCCAAATCCCACATTTTCTTTAGCATACAAACATAATAGTAAATTTGCTACTTCAGTAATTACAACTTTGCCTTCCTAGAAGAAAATTTATTATAAGATTTCGTATTTTTTATGTATAAATTAATTGAAAAAGTCACAATACAATGTTAACATTTGTATATATCAAGTTCATAATAATATTATTAAATCAATTTTTTTCAATATTTATGCCTTCTTATTACTATATGATATTTAAAATTTTTAAACACTTAGGAATAAATCTTAGAAATGTCTATTATTATAATAGGTAAATATATTATTATTCATCAATTAAAAGATATGTCAAGAAAAATTTACCATGTTTATATCTTATTAACATTATTTTTGCATGTTGTAACATGTAAAAATTTTTAGTTGTAATTAAAAAAGAAGATATTAGCATAAATATTTAACTACACAAGATTTAAGCAGTACATACTTCATTAATAATAAAATATTCATTAATTACCACACAGTCCATTAATACAAATTGTAATTCATCTTCTTTAAATGCATTTCGTCCATTCTTTTCATATGCTGACCAAATATTACTTGTAATAGCAGCAGTTACTCTTGCATCTTTATCTCCATAACCACTGTAAGCTAATAAACCACCATCTCTATTTAATAATCTGAAACACATTTTCATTTTTTATTTAATCATGTAATTCTAAAAATATTTCCAAATACAATAATAATAAAAACTATTCAACTTTATTTATATGATTTCATTTACATATATTGTAGATTTACATGTTTTATAATGTGATACAGTTTTTGTGTGTTTTATAACATGGTACAATTGTTTTAAAAAATATAAGTTGTAGTATCTTTAATTTCAATAAAGGAAATGTTAATACATTATATTTTACTTACAACGTATTTTCTACACCACCCGTATTAGCTTGACTAAGTACTTGTGTTAAAGCTTTTGGTTTCAACATAATTTCACAGGTGATGAATACAAATTTCTTTTTCTCGGTACAATATTTATCTTACTTTCAATTATCTTTATCGTAAATCTACTACAAAACATCAACAAAGAGTAGTATTTTTTATTAGATCTATTCTCTATAACAAATTACAATGTCCCTAATACAAAAAAATAGTTATATCATAGAAATTTATACGATACCAATTTTTCACTAAAAGAAATAAAGTTTCTAGTATATAAATTTCATGTGTGAAAATATATTTCATACGCTATTTCTATTAAATATTATTGTACAAAATTAAATTTTGAATAAAATAAATAAAATATATATTTACTTATACATATATTTTATAGAATACATTTTAAATAAAATATTTTTTTGTATGTTAATAGTATTATATTTGTATTAAATTAATAATAGAATTATTAATAATTTTGAAAATTGTATACAATTAAATTATAATTTTTTAGTTTTAAATATGTGGTATACAATACACACTATAAATACTGTCTAGAATGATACATACATTAAATATCTACATTAATATTAAAAATGTTTATAATGTAAGCAATAAGCGTTATATCAATGTATATATATAAATGCATTATGCAGTAATTAATTATATAAAATACTTCGATGTTCATATCTACATTTTTTGTTTGCAAAATTCTTTTTTATATATGTATCAAAGATGTTATCAGTTCTACATATATGATAACAAGAGAGTTAATAAAATAATTATCTATTTTCATCCAAATTCGTGATAATGCGTTTTTTGTAGTTATAATTCATCGAGAAAGTTTCAAGAATGGTTAACAAATTCAAAAATAATCTTACATCTATCTTTTTGGCTAATAATAGTTTTTATAGTTTTCATGATAATAATTTAATATTTTATTAATTTAATATATTAGTATAGAACTATCATCATGTTTTTAATAAATATAATATTTTTTAACTCAAAAATATTATTTTTCTTGCATACATATTTTTAAACATGACTCATTATTTTGTGTATAAATAAAAAGCTATAAAATCTATTTATGTACTTTTCAGTAAATAACAGCCATTAATTTGCATTTACTATTGTGGTTTTTTTTTTAGTAATTTATTCATTATGAATTAACATTTTAATGTACATTTAAATTTATATTTTTTAATATAATTTAATCTAATTTGCAAAATTATCTTCATTTATTAATTTATTATAGAATTGTAATTTTTCTATAGCAGATAATTATAAATATATATAAATATAAACACTAAAAATAACTAATATTATATTGTTCAAATTTTTATATAAATATCTTAAGAGAAAGTAATATTTACAATGATTTGTCAATATATTTTCTATCTAAAATCATTTTAGATTTTTTATTTATTCTGTATAGAAACAAAATTTTAATATAACATATAATTTGCTTTTTCTACTTTTTCAGTGAAATTGTAAAAACTTTACTGATAATAAATTGAGATGAGAATGCATGGGAAACATTCTGTAATATGATCAGTTTATTTCTTATATGAAGTAATAGGCAACAATATAAATATAAATAAATATCATTTAATAATGAAGAATACATTTTAGATTAAATTATTTTATATGTAAAGTAGATGCAAAGAAATAGCTATTACATGTGAATCAATGTAATCTGTGAAACAATATATAAACATTGTGATTTATTAAGTAAAATATATCGTATGAATATTTTTTTATTTACAGTATAGTAGTATTATAGATATAAAATATCTATAATTTTGTTAATTGTACAAGTATTTAAACTGAAAGACAATACCATTTATTAAAATATTATTAATCTTCAAAAAATGTTACAACATGCAAAATCACCATTACTATTTGAAATATTTTATGAATGCCAAACAACAAGAGCTAGAACTGGAAAGATAACTCTTATTCATCATCATGTGGATACACCAGTGTTTATGCCAGTGGGTACACAAGTAAGTTTAATGTAATTTAATGTTAAATAAAAATATAATACAATATATTTAATATTATTAATTTATACAATCTTTCTATTTAAAAGTACATCATAAATAATTGAAAATATAATATTTACAATATTTTATGACATTGAATCATATGTGACATATTTCTTTACGCTCTTCAACTAATATTAATATAATATAAATTAAGCAATGTAATATATCATTTAAAAAGAAAAATTAATAATCTTGAAATTATCTGTATACTTTTATTATATAATACAATGACAACTTTTTTTATAATAAATAATTTCAGTATATTTTCAATTATTTATAAAATACTCTGTATGTTTTAATATTAACTTTAATATTTTAGGGTACTTTGAAGGGTTTATTACCTCAACAATTAGAACAATTAAATTGTCAAATTATACTTGCGAATACATATCATCTTGGAACAAGACCTGTATGTAAAAAATATTACTGTATAAAGATTTTATTATGAATATATTTAAAACATAAGTAAAGTGCTTATTCAAATAATTCAGATAAATATTCTATTAATAAAGAAATTATTTCTTTTAGGGTTTTAATATTATGCAAAAAGCTGGTGGTCTACACAAATTTATGAATTGGAAAAGAGCATTATTAACTGATTCTGGTGGTTTCCAAATGGTATCATTATTAGAACTTGCTAAAATTACAGAAGATGGTGTCAAATTTAAGTCACCATATAATGGTATTTATAATTTGGAAACAATCTGTATTTATATCATATTGTGTTCAAAACATAAAAAACAATTGAAATATTTTAATATTATTGCATAGATTCAGATTGTATGTTGACACCCGAATATTCTATACAAATACAAAATACAATAGGAGCAGATATAATTATGCAACTTGATGATGTGGTTAGAACTACATTAACAGGACCAAGAGTAGAAGTAGCAATGAATAGGTAATATTGGATTTGTATGTATAATTCAAAGATAATATTATTGGATCGGATATTTATATATAATTTACAGGTACTGTTATTGCATTTATGTACATAATATATAGGTAATATCATTGTTTTTGTATATATAAACATTATTTACTTTTATTAAAATAATATTTTTTGTATCTTTAGTAAAATGATTTTTAATATTCAATATACTCTTATTTATAGAACAATTCGATGGTTAGATAGATGTTTGAAAGCACATCAGAGGTCAGATGAACAAAGTATATTTCCAATTGTACAAGGAGGTCTTGATCCTAAACTTAGATCAGAATGTGCAAATCAATTAACTAAACGTGAAGTAAATGGTTATGCTGTAGGTGGATTAAGGTAATCGCGTTGTATGCATTAATTTAAATAAAGAGAATAATTATTGAATGATTAATTCTATTTCCAGTGGTGGGGAATCTAAAGATGAATTTTGGAGAATGGTATATCTTACGACAAGTATACTTCCAAAAAATAAGCCACGTTATTTAATGGGTGTTGGATTTGCTACTGATTTAGTCATTTGTTCTGCTTTGGGAATAGATATGTTTGACTGTGTATTTCCTACAAGAACGGCGGTAAATAAATTTGGATAATGTAAATTAGCAAAATGAAATTTATTAATTGACACATTGTTTTTTCCAGAGATTTGGTTGTGCATTGATACGTACTGGCCAATTAAATTTAAAACAAGTTCAATATTGTAAAGATATGAGACCAATAGATGAATTATGTGAATGTAGTACTTGTAAAACATACACACGCGCTTATCTTCATCATATTGTAACAGTTGAAACAGTTGCATGTCATTTGTTATCTATTCATAATATTTCATTCCAAATGAAACTAATGAAAGATATTAGACAAAGTATTAAAGAGCAGAGATTTCCAGAATTCATACAAGAGTATATGTTAGATTTATATCCACACAAGGAATATCCTCAATGGATAGTTAATGCCTTGGAAGTTGTGCATATTAAACTATTATAACAAATATAATTATTTATTTTCATAATATAATGTTTCCTATTTAGTTTTTAAATATTTTTTTACAGAAATAAATGAAAATTTATATATATTCTATAATAACTAGTTGCAGTAATTATATAAAATATAATGTACTCAGCAAAACTAACAAAAAAATTCAATAACAAAACTTATGGTGTTTTGCAATATATGCAAAACTTACATTTTTATACATTTTTTTTATAAATATTTTAATTTGTAAAGATTTATCAGTTTTGTTATTATTCTGTTATTTTAGATTTTTTTAAATTCTAATAATCATTTTTCCTTTAAACAAATTAAATTTTGGTATTACGCATATTTTATGTTTTAAATATGTTTATCTATAATTCCAAACTATGGTAAAGTAGGCACAAAAAATACAAATAACATTAATAATTTCATCACATAAAATCATCTGAGTCATATCCGCTATTTTCTGTATTTGATGTCATATTAGATGTATTAAACAAAGAATTATAACTTCTGCAAGAATATAAAATAATATTAAATCAATTGAATTTGAATAATTGATACCTTTCAATAATAATACAATGATTTTTGATTTACCTCATTTCTGCTTCCTCCTTTTTTCGTTTTTCTTCTGCCTTTTCTCTCTCCTTTTGCTCCCTCAAAAGTTTTTTCTTATCTTCTCGTTCATTTCTGTCTCGCTGTTCTCTTTCTGCTCTTAAATTCACTTGTTCTGAACGTTTAGTTTTATTCAAACGATTAACAATAGTATTCATTTGTTTTGCAATGTGGATTTTACGAACATCTTTATCTTTGTGAAAACCAACTTGTCCTACTTCCATGCCCTGAGTTTTCTTTAAATTTGACCACATTGTATATACTACATCTACAGCATTTATTTTACTCCCTTCAATGCTATTTGCTTTCACTAACTGTGCAGCATCTTCTAAAACAGCACTAGATATGTCATCTATTGTCTGACCCTACAAAACATATTATGTATACATATAAATAAAAGTTTATACAATAACATATATTTCTAATAAAAAATATTCACAGGACGAAGACGAAGATATACATGAGCTGAAGAATATTTATCAACATGAAACCAAACATCTTCTGGCCAACCCCATTTTATAAGATCTTCATCTGAAAAATTATATGTTAAATTAATATATCTTGAATATTATAATATATTTTAATATTTTTCACTTACTTTCATATTTGTCAATCCCCATAAATAATGTTACGGGTGGTTGTACAACTATAATTCATAATCATGATTATTATTCTAACCTTATTGAATGTTATTATATTTAGTAGTAGAATATATGAAAGAAGAAAATTCAATTATGAAATTTAAATATAAAATCAGTAATAAATAATACCTTCACTTGTAAAATAATAAACCATTATGTTATGTTTAAACTTTGGTTTAAACACGTGGTGCAATTTATCTGTCAAACTTCAAGTTGATAGTAGCGACAATAAACCGTATTTTTTTTTAACTATTCAACTTACATTTTATTTTAAAATATCTTGTTTTTCTATGTGTGATAGAATATAAACATATAAAATCTAATAATTAAAATTTTATCTTATTGTTATGTTGCTTATAATTAATTATAAAAGAATTTAAAAAACGTATAAATAAATTTTAATGTAAAATAAATGTTTGTAATATTAACAAAAATTTATTATTTATATACACATATATGTATAGTACAAATATATTAAACATTAAATATTGAATATTTAAGCTTTTATTAATATTAATATATTAAATATCTGAGTTTTTTACACAATAATTTTTAAATTATAGATCAATTCCATATTGATTCATATGAATTGCATGTTTCTCAGCATGATATGTTGCAATAATGTGATCAAGTACTGGTCCTATTTCAAGATCCCTTATTCGTTCACTTATAGATACTGGTGTTTCTAACAGAGATAAATATACTAAAAATTTAATTATTGGATTAATTATTTCAGTACTCAATTATACTTAATTTTTTTTTAATATTTATACTCGATTAATAAAAATTATTTTACCAAGTAACATATTAGGATTTGTAAGATTAAGTTGAATGCGTGGATCATTCATGATTGCTTTATAAATTGGATTATCTGAATCTAGTTCTTTATCTAAATCTTGCAGGCTATGTCTCCTTTCTCCAAGTAACCATTCACACTAAAAATAAAAGTATATTAAACATTTAATAAATTTCAAATTATATAAATTATTTACAGCATTAATTTGATTGTTTCCAGTAATTTTTAATGCCTCAGTAATGTTGTTTTTTTTAAATCCCATTTCTAATAATAATTGTACTGCTTTAGAATTTGGTTTGAAGTCCATTTTCCTATAGTGATGATAACTTTTTAGCAAACAATCTACTAAGCTGAGTAAATTTGCTTCTTTCTCCGTGCTTTGACATCCTGCATAAATATCAATTTAATTATAAAATAAACTTAAAAATGAAAAAACATTATATTATAATTTTAATAATTTTTGATTTTATTATTTATATTATAATTTAATATATTATTGAATAAGAATCACAAATTTATTTTGCTTTATATGGGTGTGTGTGTGTTTTCATAAACTTTAATATTAATAAAAGTAAAAACATTTGTTTCGTATGTTTATCTGTCCTTATTGTTACAATTGAATATAACCTACTTAATTATATTATAAATTTGTTTATATTTGCTTTGTATTAAATATTATCTAAATAATTACTTCCTTTACATAAATCAATACCTGCTTCCTTTAAGACATTTTTGATATATAAATAGATGAATTGAGAAATGTAACATTTTTATTATTACCTTTCTCAATAGATACAGAATCTAAGTAATCATCATCATCATCGTCTTCAGAATCATTCTGATGTTCTGTTAGCCATTCCAATGCTTCCATTATATTTAATCTATAGTAAATAAAAAATCTAAGTATAAGATATTACTTTTAATCTATTACTATTTATAACCATTAAATTAAATAATAGACTGCTTATACCTTTTTAAATGAAGCACTCTTAGGACTTTTTTTTCAGAATAACCCATGTCTGTAAGAGTTTTTACAGTATTTGGATTAATATTTGGTTCACATCTTGCTTCTAACTTTTCTTTTAAGATATTATAAAATTTTTGTGCTTCTGGACTGTATAGTACAATTCTTGCTGATGCTTTTACAAGTGTTATTAAAATTTTTCGTATTTCATTCTGAAACTATAATATAAAATAAATAATATAAATGTTTTTATATGTAATATGTAAAATACATATACACATAAATATTTACATCTGCAGGACAATAAAGAGATGGAATATGTTTAGGTGGATTACATATGGGTAAATCTTTTGTTACTTGTAATATTACTTCTTTGTTTGGACCTTTCAAAGCTTCTTCAGACAAATCTTCATGTATAGATATAGGACGAATGTTTATTAACATTAATTCATCTGTAACAAAGAAAATTATTTTATATTATTTTTCTATGTGTAAATTTAATATAAAATTTTGACAGATTGAAATTTTACCATTTTCGTTAATTTTTTCATCAGTTATACTATAATCATCTATAAGCCATTTAAATTTGGATAAATGAACTAAACGGAAGTTGACTGGATTTTTTGATATATCATCACTATAGAAATGTTTTATTACAATGTTTTTGATTTGATTAATAGTCATATCTAATGTTACATTAAAATTCATAATTATTCCTTCAGGGCTAAAAAGGTAAATTATATTTATTAACAGTTTTTATTAACAATTTTTATATTTATTAACATTTAAAAAATTTAATAATACTCTACCTTATAACATTAATTAAGAAAAGTCCTCCTGACTTAGACATTATGTAGTTAGTTTTATAATTTGTTGTTTTAGTAGAAGTTTCAAAAGTTAGTTTTTGTCTATTCTTGTTAAACTTTTTATGTATCACTATGTATTTATTATGTATTCTTGCAATCATATAAATTATAATTATATCTATAACATGAAGAAATGTTTTTATTATTATGAATAATATAAATGTATTTAAGTATTCAAAATAAATAATGTGTAAATTTTGTTAAAGGTTAAAATAACATTTTTAATTTCATTTTTTACGTATATTACTAATAAATATTATTTAAATAACTTTAGGCCTATGATTATTTTTATTTTATAAAACAAATATATTTGACTTCAATATGAAAATTTTTACTTGACTGTGTGTTTTAATTTAAATTTCTGTTGCATTATTATATTAACATAATAATATTAAGATATCTATGGTTTTAAATCATATCATGCGTAAAATAATCTGTAAAATGTCTTTATAAATGTTTTCTGAAAAGCCACGCAACAATGAATTTACATCTCCTACGAAAAAAGAAATTAACTTATATATAGTCACATAAGTGTCACTTATCAGAAATTGCAGGTAATCAAATGATTTGTTTACATGTACATATCGAGATATACAAAGTATACCTAAGAATATATAACCATAAAATTTACTTTCGTAAATGTTTATTTTTATAAAACTTTCTTCCTGAATTTTAAAATTTATTTTACTTGTTTAAAGAAGAAGAAAATTATAATTAGTGAAATATGATAAGAAACAAAATGTTTTATCGAATTAATTTACTGATTTAAACGTTATAATTTAAAAATATTTTTGTAATGCTACATTATTTAAAGCAAAAATCAAACAAAACAATTACTAGTAACATAATTATGAATATTATAACATGTTATAATAAAATTTATAAATAATAAAAATTATAATTACAATGTTCCAAAGTACATTCTCTTTCAATATTAAAATATAGAAAGTTCATATTAACTTTAGGGAAAAGTTTACATAAATCTATTGTGTATGTTTGAAAATATTGAAATATTCTTTATTTTATTTTTTCTTACAAAATATTATTTAAATTTGACTATTTATTAATATACATTATTTGAAGTTAATGACAATAAAAATACAGATTTATATTAAATTGATAATTTTCCAGGATGGCTGAAAAATCTGGATGTGGTGAATTACAACAATTAGTTCAAGAAGAGGAATGCGAAGAACCATTAAGTCAAGGTGGAGAAGCTACACCACCTTCTACACCAGCAAGGTCTCATCATCCAAGTAAAAATGATACACATAGTTCTCATATATCGGTACGAATGTAATATTACATATTTAAAAGAAAATTATTTTATATTATTTTTCTATGTGTAAATTTAATATAAAATTTTGACAGATTGAAATTTTACCATTTTCGTTAATTTTTTCATCAGTTATACTATAATCATCTATAAGCCATTTAAATTTGGATAAATGAACTAAACGGAAGTTGACTGGATTTTTTGATATATCATCACTATAGAAATGTTTTATTACAATGTTTTTGATTTGATTAATAGTCATATCTAATGTTACATTAAAATTCATAATTATTCCTTCAGGGCTAAAAAGGTAAATTATATTTATTAACAGTTTTTATTAACAATTTTTATATTTATTAACATTTAAAAAATTTAATAATACTCTACCTTATAACATTAATTAAGAAAAGTCCTCCTGACTTAGACATTATGTAGTTAGTTTTATAATTTGTTGTTTTAGTAGAAGTTTCAAAAGTTAGTTTTTGTCTATTCTTGTTAAACTTTTTATGTATCACTATGTATTTATTATGTATTCTTGCAATCATATAAATTATAATTATATCTATAACATGAAGAAATGTTTTTATTATTATGAATAATATAAATGTATTTAAGTATTCAAAATAAATAATGTGTAAATTTTGTTAAAGGTTAAAATAACATTTTTAATTTCATTTTTTACGTATATTACTAATAAATATTATTTAAATAACTTTAGGCCTATGATTATTTTTATTTTATAAAACAAATATATTTGACTTCAATATGAAAATTTTTACTTGACTGTGTGTTTTAATTTAAATTTCTGTTGCATTATTATATTAACATAATAATATTAAGATATCTATGGTTTTAAATCATATCATGCGTAAAATAATCTGTAAAATGTCTTTATAAATGTTTTCTGAAAAGCCACGCAACAATGAATTTACATCTCCTACGAAAAAAGAAATTAACTTATATATAGTCACATAAGTGTCACTTATCAGAAATTGCAGGTAATCAAATGATTTGTTTACATGTACATATCGAGATATACAAAGTATACCTAAGAATATATAACCATAAAATTTACTTTCGTAAATGTTTATTTTTATAAAACTTTCTTCCTGAATTTTAAAATTTATTTTACTTGTTTAAAGAAGAAGAAAATTATAATTAGTGAAATATGATAAGAAACAAAATGTTTTATCGAATTAATTTACTGATTTAAACGTTATAATTTAAAAATATTTTTGTAATGCTACATTATTTAAAGCAAAAATCAAACAAAACAATTACTAGTAACATAATTATGAATTTTATAACATGTTATAATAAAATTTATAAATAATAAAAATTATAATTACAATGTTCCAAAGTACATTCTCTTTCAATATTAAAATATAGAAAGTTCATATTAACTTTAGGGAAAAGTTTACATAAATCTATTGTGTATGTTTGAAAATATTGAAATATTCTTTATTTTATTTTTTCTTACAAAATATTATTTAAATTTGACTATTTATTAATATACATTATTTGAAGTTAATGACAATAAAAATACAGATTTATATTAAATTGATAATTTTCCAGGATGGCTGAAAAATCTGGATGTGGTGAATTACAACAATTAGTTCAAGAAGAGGAATGCGAAGAACCATTAAGTCAAGGTGGAGAAGCTACACCACCTTCTACACCAGCAAGGTCTCATCATCCAAGTAAAAATGATACACATAGTTCTCATATATCGGTACGAATGTAATATTACATATTTAACTAGTTTTTATAAAACCTAAATAATTTATTAAATTTGATTTTTGTAATGAACTAAATTTAATATGTCCTTTAATATAATTTAAAATTTTTATTTTGAACTCACATCTGATTTGATTTTTATGTTGGTTAATAAATACATGTATGACATTTTTTTATGGATATCAGAAATAATCTATTATTGCAGTAGAAAGTTATTAATTTTTATAATAATCATCCGAACTAGTTCTTTTCAATTACCACTTGTTTTAATTGCTACATTTTCAAAAATGATAATGATATAAAAAGAGCAAAAGAAAATTATTTTAATAAAATATTAAAAGATTTTTATTTAAATAGAATTGATAAATTATTAGAAAATTTGAATATGCATATGTATATAATGATGATCATTATATAGGCAGTTAATTAACTATTATTTATATTAACTAAGAAATATTTCATAAAAAATATACAAAATAGCTAATAAGTTTTATAAGAAACAAAAAAAAAAATAAACTTTCTATTATAATTGATTGCTTAAAGTTACAAAAGATTAATAATTACATATTTAACAAACTTAACTTAAGAACTATAAATGATATTGTACATTAAAATAAATATTAAACAACTACAAAAGTAATATTATAATGTTACATAGTTTTCAAGGTAAAAAGCAATATGATGAAAGGTTTAAAACTATTCTTAGTCATTTTTTAATTCATTTGTTTTACTTAAATGAACATCTGTATTATTTTTTCAATTTACAATAAATATATTTCATTTTTTCTCTTACTTTTTTTTATAAAAAATATTATTATTTTTTTAAATCTTTGAAACATATCTTAATATTTTTAATCCAATAAACTCATTTATAAGTTAAAATGTGATACTCTATAAATATAAATAAATAAATAAATAGTATTTAAGTAAATTGATAAAAATGTTAGCAGAAATTTATTATTTTAGCAACAAGTCTTATGGGAGACTAATGTCCAAACTTCACCAATTGTTAGTAAAGGAAGTTCAGGTCAAGCAACAAGTCAAGGATCTATGGTTTCTGGACGTGCTGTGAATCTTTCAAATCATGGAAATCAGTCTCGTTTAATGTATATGAATGAAAAAGAAAAACAAAGGCCAAATCGAACAGAACTAACAAAAATTAATCGGCAACATAGAGGTAACTTTATATTTTATATTAATATTTTCAAAATATCATTTAAAATAATCAATAAGAAACTATAAATTATATATTCTCAGAATATGTATGTCAACATTTAAAAAATATTTGTTTAACTTAATTTTCAATTATATATTATTACTTATTTTATGTAGTATATGGTGTATTAATGTAATATTGCTATATGATAATATTATTTGATAAATATCATAATTTATAAATTATAATTTGTAATATATTATATACCTAATTTATTATAATTTTATTTATATTTTTATGTTTTAAGTATGTCTAAATTTTCATTACATTTTTTGGTTGTGTTTTGGTGTCATAAAATAAAGTTATGACACCATGCAAACATCATTGCTTTTTGTCAGAGGTTCCCGATGTTCGACGCATGGAACAAGCTTTATTACAACTTTTAGAAGATTTTCATAGTGGAAATTTACGAGCATTTGGTATGTAAAATAAAACAAAATAAAGTTAATAAAATAAAACAAAATTCTAACAAGAATAAAATTAAAATGGGCAGTGCTATTTAAATATAGGAAAAGATTGTAGCATGGAGCAAATGACAGAAATACGAGAACAACAAGAGCAATTAGCTAAACTTCATTTTGAGTTAGGTCAAAGACAAGGAATTGGTGGAGAGCAATCAGGTCTTCGACATTCGAGTGCTAATATGGACAGTTTGTTAGAATGTCTTCAAGAACTCAGTGTTGGTATTGAGAAATTACATAGTAAATAATTATAAAATATATAACGTATAACGAAATTATTTCAAAAAAATATGTGTACAAAAAAATGAATATCAATTAATACAACATATAGAATATGATAAAAATGTAAGTACTTTACAAAATATTTTCATATTTTGGAAATCTTTTATGGTATTGTTTTTATATAATTATATGTTCAACTTTTCTAATAATGAAATCTTTTTTATTTTATATTTCTTGATTTTAATGTCTTCATTTATTTGAAATTTCCCTTTATTACTTATTAAACTTCCTATAAAAAAATATACAGTTAATGAATAATAAAAAATAGCTAAAAATTAGTCATATATTCTATTGTAAATGAATCTTGAAACCTAATATTTGTATACTTATATTTATTTGTCTTTGCTCAATAATTTTTTTATATATATATTTTTTAATTTCATTAGATATTTTAACAATGTTAATATTTGTACCTATATTTTATTTGAAATTTTATATATAATGTATTATCAAAATGGATAAAATTAAAATAGATCAGATATAGTACATAATGAATATATTAAAAATTCTTGCTTGGAAAAGTGAGTTATAAAATAAAAATTATGAAATAAAATTGTATTTCCTTAAAATATTCTTCTAAAATCCATTATTAATTTAATATTATTCAATATGTTAATGCACTTTAAAGCAATATGACTAGATATTTATTTAAGTAATTTTTTTTAAATAATATTTTTCTCTTTTAAAGCCCAATTTTACAATATAACAAACAAGACACAATTTATTTTTCAAGTAACAAATAAAGAATTTAAATCATTAATAATTCAATATGTTCTGTAAGTAAAAAAAAAGCAGTATATTTATATAATGGATACATATATTCAATTAATTTTGTAAATATCACAAAAAATCATGAAGAATGATAAAAAATTTTAACTAATACAATATTAAAATTGTCATAAAAAATATACAAGATGTTCTTTCACGTAATTAAAGTATATATTCAAATAAAAGAATCACGCATAGAAGTTATAAAATAGTTGTTTTGAAATACAATTATTAATCAGATATAAGAATAAAATAAAATTTGTTGTAACATACATAATAAGCATGTATTTTACAATAAAATTTTCAATAGATTTTACGTAATTTTTAATCAAATTCTAATTGATTTTAAACATTCGGAAGTTGATATAGATAGTAGTCATTTCCGTTACCTTGCAGCATTAGAATATACTTTGTATGAGAAATATTGTTGTCGTACAATTTAATCCTTTTGAATGTAACAAAAAGCTCTAATCGGTTGAATTTACTTTTGTTTAAAAAAGGTGATACTTCCATTTGCCTCGTTGTACTTATTAAATAAAATTAATCTTCAATGTTTTCTTTCCAACCTCATAATCAGGTTTGTATTATTATCGTTAATATATGAATAATCATACAAAAATGTTTAAATTTCATACATTATTTAGTATATAAAGTTTCAATTTTGCGAAATAACTAATGTGTTAAATTTATATCCTCTGCTTCCCCTAAAAGTACTTTTGTAAATTTTATTTTATAACCTTATATTTATTGTATTAACACAAATTTGTGAAATTTATACTATTTTACATATGGTTTATTTTATTTAATTTTGAAAATTATATAAATATATTATTTATTTTAAACTTTGTATTTCTGAAAAAAAAAAAAAACAATTATTATTTACTATTTTTAGGTGTTATATCATCTGGGACAATTAACTTCAGTAATTAATCCAAAATCTACGTTATGTTCAGTTAAAATTAAAAAACAAAATGAGCTTAAAAAATCTGTGGATAGTACTTCTCATAGTAACTTATCCAAAGTAAGTTATTGTTTTAATATATTGCATATAATCATAATAATAATTTATTAAGTTTATGTTTTATTTTAGGTTACTAAAACTTATGCTGATATGTTAATAGACAAATTGTGTATGTTTAATATAATTACAATGCTTAATACAAAAACAAATAATGTCTTGTTAACATTAGATAAAATTTCCATGAAAATTTTTGAGAAAAATGTACAAAAGAATAATAAATGGAAGGTATCATATGCATCAGGGTTAAATTTTATGGAAAACAAACAAAAATATCTTTATAAGCAGTGTGCTGAAGAAGTTATTTTACCTTCTCTATATTTGTCATCTAAAAACCATTATAGAACATTATGTACCTTTTGTATTAAAAATCCATTTAATTGTCATATACAAACTCGTGGTTTTAGAACAAAATATAATGTAAAACCTGGATCAAAAAAAGAATCATCATTTACAAATAAATTTAAGAAATTTATTGGTTATTTTTCTGAAACAGTAAGATTATATATTATTTGTTATTTACATGAATGATACATATATATTATGAATAATTTCCTTCATAGAATGCAGGAGTAGTTCAAGTTTTGAAAGAAAAAGACTTGGCAGCAATTAAAAATTTATTGAATAATCAAACATTAACAGAAGAACAAAAGAAAATAATAGTGGCTTTTATTGAAGGGTATGAAACAGGAGTTAAACGAACTTCACGTGGAAGTCAAAATGCGAAGTGGTGGAAAACGTTTTCTTCATTTTTAACAATATCTTTTGCAGTATTTTTCTGGTATGTAGGTATGTAAGTTGAGGTACCTAACAGAATTCTTATAATAATTTATTTACTTTTTAAATAACTTCATTTTGATATATTTTCTTGTAATTGTTAAGCACCATTGTAATATTCTGGAAGTTATTAAAAAATTATGTTACTAAAGTAAGACATATTCACAACTTCAAAATAATTAATATAAAGAAACACAGTAATACTTAAAGAATATTAGTGAACTTCAGTTTACCAATAATAATGCAATTTTTCTTATACTTTCATTGTTATAGTTTATGCATTAGGAGGTAATCTGCGATTTTCATTTGATTCTATGAAAATTAGACCAGAAACAACAGACTTAACTTTTGACGACATTAAAGGAGTAAGTAAATCATTTTTAAGATTCTAATAGTGAATTTTTTTACTTCACTAAATAACGTGTATTCGTTTATTTATTTATAATTAGGTTACAGAAGCAAAACAAGAATTGAAAGATATAGTTGAATTTTTGAAAAATCCAGAGAAGTTCTTCGCTGTTGGTGCAAAATTACCTAAAGGTGTATTATTAGTAGGACCACCAGGAACTGGAAAAACGCTATTGGCTAGAGCAGTAGCTGGTGAAGCAAGTGTTCCATTTTTTCATGCAGCTGGACCAGAATTTGAAGAGATTTTAGTGGGACAAGGTGCACGTAGAATGAGAGACTTATTTAGTAAGTTACAAAAAAGAAATGTTTTGAAAAGAAATGAATATTGAAGAAAATATTCCTACAAATGAAGAAAAGAGATGTATCTTTTAAGCCGGGGTCACACGATTGTTGAAACTACGGACATTGTGATGTGCGTCGATATTGCAAACTGCAGTTACACGAGTGTTGCTTTTCAGTTTCAAGCATGTTTTCCGACCTCAATATTTCAATATCTTGCTATTTTCATTATTTCAATATCTTGCTATTTTCAATATTTCAATATCTTTTACAAAAAAAACGGACGTCGAAATTAACATTTATATCATCAAATCGCTATAAGTATGCAGAATGTAGTAACAATGTACGGATCAAGTGCTTAACACACGTCATAACGATCGTTAACAATAAAATACTACTGTAGATACTGCAACGTGCAACGCAATATCCGTATTTTGAACGTTTGTATGATCTCGATCTTAAAGACAATATTTGAATTTTTTAGTTTTATAATTTAATTATATAATTAAACTGATTTACTTTTACATATCAAATATATATTACAATTAATTATAATTAATTATAATAAAGAATTAATTATAATTAATTCTACTATACTATGTATATCAAAATCTCTATATGCTATTTATAATTGAATGTTATGATAATATTGCTTTTCATGATGTTTATTTATATATTTTTTTATTTATATCATGACTTAATGAATATCCCTAATTAGCAATTGCAATATTTTAAATATTTTCATTTTTTAAATTATAAAAACACTATCTAGAAAAGTTATTTATTTATTCTTTTACATTCTAAATATAATTCAAAATTTTTAAATGATAACGTCATTACATAATATTTATACAAAATTTTAATATTATATATATTTCTTATATTATGAAATACAATTTCAATGAAAATATTTTGAAAAAATTTTACAATTTATTTATATAATTCTTATTATTACTTTGTTCAGAAGCAGCAAAAGAAAAGGCACCTGCTGTAATATTTATAGATGAAATTGATTCTGTTGGTTCAAAACGAACATTTTCAACTCTTCATCCATATGCAAATCAAACAGTAAATCAATTACTTACAGAAATGGATGGGTAAACTAAAAATTTTAATTTTTTATCTGGCTGCATACAGAATAATTTTAGGAATTAGTATGAATCATATGTGAAAACAGGGAAAATTGATAGAAGAAGAAATTAAGAAGTTAATAAGAATTATTTGGCATAATATGATGTTTTTTCATATATGGTAACATAAGAAATATAATTTTTTTAATATACATTTTGTAATATATTTTTACCATTTCTTAAATATTATAAGGAGAAAAATTTAACTTATACAATATATGCATATTATACTTGCTCATATTGAAGTTAATCGAATGAATGTAGCATGAAAAAATAGTACTAATTAAGTCAATTGATTTCCTTTTCTATTAGTTTTCTTTCTTTTCTTTTTCACTCTCCCCCCACTATCTTTCTCTTTATTACTCATATTTAGTAGAGACATAAAATAAATAACATTTTAATATTTAGAGTTTCATGTTTAATTTTGTAATGTTATATGTCGATTTTATATAAAAAAAGGGAAAAAAAAATAATCATCGAAAATTACCTAGTTTTTATATTTGTAGATTCCTTAAAAATGAAGGTGTTGTAGTACTAGGTGCAACAAATAGACGTGATGATTTGGATCAAGCTTTATTGCGACCTGGTCGATTTGATATCGAAGTATTTGTTTCTATACCAGATTATTCAAGTCGAAAGGAAATCTTTGATTTATATTTATCAAGAATATCAGCAAAAAATGTTGACACAGAATATTTAGCAAAATCAACTGTTGGATTTACTGGAGCTGATATAGAAAATATGGTATTTATTTATTTTACATTTTCCTTTATAGTATTTGGATAATTTATTTAATAATATAATTATTTAAAAGGTAAATCAAGCAGCTTTAAGAGCTGTTATGAATGAAGATGAACATGTAACAATGAAACATTTAGAATATGCTAAAGATAAAGTACTCTTAGGTCCAGAAAGAAAGGAAAAAATTAATGACATGGAAACTAATACTATTACAGCATATCATGAAGCAGGACATGCATTAGTTGCATATTATACTAAAGATGCAATGAGAATACATAAAATTACTATTATATCTCATCGGCAGTCTTTGGGACATGTAAGCATTATAAGTTAATGATTACTTTCTATTGCTATTACGAAATTGTTTAAAACTTGTCCAAATTTTATAGACTTCACTTTTACCTAATAAAGATGAATATTATGTGACGAAATCTTCATTACTAGCTCAAATGGATACTGCAATGGGTGGCCGTGCTGCAGAAGAATTTATTTTTGGTCCTGATAAAGTAACAACAGGAGCACAAGCTGATTTTAAGGTACTTTAATATAATTTATATTTACATTGATAATTTTTTATTACATTTAATATAAAAATTTGAAAATAAATTATGAAAGCTTGGAAAACAAATTCTTATTAAAGAAATATTTCTGATTTTATTATAAATAAAGAAAATTTGGAATATAATATCATATCATAATTATTAGTAATGATATTTCTTAGGCTGCAACTAATATAGCAGAAAAGATGGTGAATTTATATGGTATGTCCGAAAAAGTTGGTTTTGGACAGCGCATGGGAGATAGAACAGATCAATATCAATTAGGTCCTAACAAAAGTGATCTTATAGATAATGAAGTGAAGCGCCTCTTAGAAGTAAAGTTTCTCATTATATAATATTAATTCCATATATTACATTTTATATTTTTATATTAAAATTTATATATTTTCCATTTTAGGAATCATACGAGCGAGCAAGACACGTGTTACAACAGCATGCAAAAGAACTTAAAAAATTAGCAGATGCTTTGATAAAGTACGAAACATTAAGTTATAAAGATGTAGAATCAATCATCAGTGGACAAAATTATCCCAACTGAAGTTTTTAAGAAACTTGAAAAAATCAACTACGAATTATAAAACCATCTGAACATGTATTATATTTAACGAACTTAAATTCAATTTAAAATGACAAGTACAATAAATTATTTCATGCAGTATCACACTTTATAATTGCAGTTTATATTACTTTATTATAACAATTACATTTTACAATTTTACATAGTTGTAGAATTATGAAACTTCAATTAAAATATATCAGACTTTTTAATGAAAAACTTCGTAATATATAACTTATTTCTTTATTTAATTATTTATCTTTTTAAGATATCAAATTTATATAATAGTCCATGAAAATTTATTTTTCTTTACCAATTACTACCTCACAGAGTTTTTGTAAATTATAACAATATAGTAATATGTCAAAAGGAGGTATAAATGTAAATTATTATACATAATTATATATAAAGCTAATATTATATATAATTATGTACTTGAATAACATTGCTTATGTTATTTAAATTTATAAAAAGATGTCAATTTTTCATTTACAGAAAATGTATCAGTGCTATTATTATTGTCGTATAAATTTCATTGTTTGTAACATTGAATGAAAAATATAATTTTTCTTGATGCATATATTTTTCAGTGAATTTTTGACTTTACATTAAAAATAAAAAATGGCGAAAATTTCCTATAAAAAATAAGGAAGCATTTTTAATTTCATTATATTTTATAACAATTTCGATTGAAAATTATTTATAATTTCATTAAAACTGTACATGTTAAACATGCTTTGAAGAATTATATTATTTAATTTTCATCGTCATGCAATTATTTAATTAAAAGAAGGTATTTTTGTCTATACAAAATATCTAAAATAGTTTAATAGTATTTAGATTATAACATTAACATTTTATTTACCATTGTAGATATTATTAATTATACAAAATTATATATGTATCCACATATATCACATTTCGTATAATTCCTATCTATTTCGTCATTACATGATACAGGTCACTTATTATTGCATCTAAATCTACTTTTCATATATTATTATATGACTATGTTTTATTAATTAATTCTTATGTCTTTCATTTTATCTAGAATTTATAGAACATTAAAATACGAAGTAATAATGCCTAATATCACATAATAAAAAAATGTTTTCAAAATAAAAGAATATGAAATTCAAATTTACGTTTTGAATAAATAATTTGCATAAAATATATATTATGTTTACATATAAGCAAATATGAACTAAGGAATTTATAGTATTCATACAAATATCACAGTTTACAAACTTTCAAAAATTATATAACAATTAAAATTCTTTAAATTATTATCTATTCTATAAATTATTAATATTGTTATAAAAATTAATAATCTAAATTACTAATTGATAATTACCTGACATTAAATACGAGATATGAATTTGAAAAAATTAAATTTTATTCTACAACAAAATAGCGAATAAATCAAATAATAATGAAATCTGTCACATATTCGTTATATTTATGTAAAATTATAGATCATTATTTATGTAACATATAGAAATTTATGTAATATCATCAGTAACGTAAATATTTTCATATTAAGGTAAATTTTGCATGTAGGTTTAAACTTGCACGCTACATTTTTCAACAAAAAAAAAAAAGAAAAAAAAAAGAAAGAGAAATTACTTTTATTAACATTTTAAATACAGAATGAATTTTATAAAATTTATAACGTATAATACAAAAGTATTATAACATGAAATTAATTAATGTAAAAACCTTCTTTCAAATGTAATTAAAAATGTCTGTATGAAATGACACATAATATTACTTTAGTTGCTAACAAATCGAATATAAAAGTTCATCTAAAATTGCGTAAATTGTTTTAATTTAAAAAAGAAACTCTTAAAAATAAATGCTTCGTAAGAATAAATTTAGTATATAAAAATAATTTAGAATATAAAGTTTTATGTATGATACAAAATTTTATAATACCAAACTCAAAAAAGCAAAAATATTTATGAAAAAATAATGACAGGAAATTATCATCGTCTTATAAGGAATAAAGAGGGAACTGCATTTGTTATGTTGCTCTTTAATGATTTTTTTGCACTTTTTTTTAGTAAAAAAGAATTTTTATTTACAAAGCAAAATAAATTGCCAGTGACACTAGCACACGCAATGGGAATACCGCTTTCCTATTGCTTGATTTAGTCTACCTGACATTCAACCATACAAAATGGGTAGAGAAATTTGTTTTTTTTTTTCTTTTTTCGTTAACGAAGCAAAAAGATCTTGAAGAATCAAAAAAAACGATCCTTCGAAGATCGATAAGCCTCTCAAACAGCATTAGAGCCGCATAATATCGCCAGGTTTACTTCTTTTCTTTAATGTGGAAAGTAATACAAAATCTTTGACAAGAAACAAAACGCAGATCGTTTAATGTGGCAAGATTACGTATATTATAAATATATTTGACGGAAAATAAGCAAGGCGAGTTTTTTCTTCTCTTTTAATAATTACCAATAAGATCAATCTGCAAGCAACGTACTTTGTTTACACGTACTTCTTGTTTTTTCGTGCAAATATATTCCGTGTATTTTTGAATTACTTTGTTGTGTAAGATAATGTTAATTCACGACGACGTTGAAGAACAGAAAACTCGAATTAAAACAAATCAATAGAATTTGAATGATGTTTTAAAAATTAAAAAGAAAAAGATCTTCGTGATAATTTATGATCGATGGATCTTGTTTTATGAAAATTATTTCATTCTACGTTTTTTTAACTGTGATTGATAAATTATTGCATTCTATAATTACGACATATAATATTTTACTGACCTATAAAATTGTCCTACCCCATGCAATATTGTTAATATCCGAGTAATTATTCATTTGTACTCCATTTTTTCTCCGTCGAAATTTACTTTTCAATTTGAGAAAAATCAAATATTAAGATAATTGATACCTGCATGAAACTTTTGTTATAAAAAAACATTGTCATACCGTGAAATTATACACTAACGTGATGAAACAGATAGATAACAAAAGATATATAAATAAAGTAAAACAAATGAATAACCGACAAACTAACAAACTTCCGATGGAGGGAAAAAATACAGTGCAAAAGTTAGATCGTATGGTAATTTAGTTATACCATGCCCGTTTAAACAATCTTGTCCCATCAACGTATTTTCATTTTTCATCGAAATAACATAGTATTTAAAATGATGTTTGCGATTTTGTATGTAGACAAGATCGTCATTATTATTACTTTGTCGTTTAAATATAACTATATCTATTGACTGTCTGAGTAAATATGATTGTATATGTTTCAATATAATTTGTTTCCGCTGTTTTATTTTTAATTTTTTTTTTTTTTTATTTTAGAAATCGGTGCTGTTACATTACAGATGTCTAGATACCAGTATCAATTTTGACGATTCGCGTTTGTTCATGTGTTTGGGCCTAAGTTCGATAATTTTGTAGTATTAATTTCCGTCCTTTTTTTTCTTTCCTCTTTCTTTATTTGACAAATAATGGATAGTACGATTATTGCACATTGTAGTCTCGTAAAAATGTTTCACGTCTTTTCCGTGAATAGATCGATATCTGTATCTAGATAAAATCAAATTGTAAATTAAACAGCACAGACAAACCCTGATTACACGATAATATCGAATAATTCCTACCTAAAATCTTTGTGCGTACAACAACAAGTAATATCGTAGTACATATTCTTTTTTACTTACGAGTTACAAAGATCAGTACTATTATAGAAATTTCCAAGATCTTCGATCATTTGGTCAAGTTAATGAAAGTTATTTATTTACACTTAATAACTTCCTATACTTGCTCGATTTATATTCCCCGTTAATTTCTCTTTCTTTTCTTTCTTTTCTTTCTTTTCTTTCTTTTCTTTCCGCTTTTTTTTCTTTTTTCCCCTTTTCTCTTTTTTTTTCATTTATTTCACAACCTATAGAAGGTCGAGTCCTCTTTTCTTTCCGTCCATTTAATTAACCACTAGTTTCAAATCACTACTTGGTTTCACAAATCGAATGGTTTTTTATGTTTGTACAGTTCACAACTCGCCTTACAATAAGATTACCGTCGTATTAGTTGTTTTAACAGTTTAGAATATTTGAAACTACGTTGTAACTCATTTCATAGAAAGAATGTGTTACTCGCTGTATTTCAGGCTGTGTGGGAAACTAACTTTTTCTTGTTGCTTATAAATGTGTGATGCAATTACCAGAAATATTTATTAACCCTTTGAAGTATTGCTAATTTTCACTTCTTTTTACTGTTTTCTCTCTTTTCAATTAATTTTATTCCGTTTCAGTAATTCAAATCGAGATATAAAAATATGCTTAATTGGCATAATCATGCAAAGTACCTTTCTCGAAAAATCTTGCTCGATTTTCTATCTTCCATTTATTTTATAAACTTTATGATATGCCGAAAGATTACTTTTGCAAAAATGTTGTCCCGTTAGAAACATAAGAAACTGTTTTCCAAACGATCAAATCATATTGGTTCGATGCATGCTTCAAAAGGTTAATACAAACGTGCAGGTTACAAATTCAAAATCTTGATTACATGCGTAACATTATCTAGATTCACGGAATTCGAAATTCTTCGGATTCCCACATACGATTATTTAGTTACGGTACGTGAAATGGCGATTAAAAACCGGTATTAGCAATGTAGTGCCTTATATGGCAATAGCATAAACCAAAAAACGTATTCGAAATATTTCTGGTCAATTATAACGTTACGAAAAATTACAAGTAAAATAAATATATAGAAACTAATCAGGTAGATACAAAAATGTAAATTTCAAATGAATCGTTATTTTTAACATACCTTCTTTTCCTTATTGTCACAATAATCGCTTATTTGATTGTTAACAAGTTAATCGATTAACGAGAACACGAAGTTTGGTTCATGCTATTTGTACGTCAATAGTAACTTTCAAAGAACAAGATTTCACAAAAATCATACTATATAATATTTTACATGGTGTTAACTTTCGTAACTCCATATAATCCTTTACAGAATGATAATATAGAATTCTTGCAAATGTCGTGAGTTTGTGATC